TACCTGACAGCCAACTTCTCCCACACTGATTGATAGCCACTGTCAGAGGTTGCATACACTGCTGCAATCTCCTCCCATATTTGTATATATAATTTATTGGGTGTTTTTGCACTGTTTGGTGATTGCAACTGGAATTAATTGAGTGGTTTGTGCAAGATATCTATAGCATATCTTATAACATGTCACTAAGTGGTCACATTTCATATGTACCATTTTGCCATATGCAGGTAATGAGTTGACAGATTTAACAGGTGCTATGTTGCCATATACCATGTTACTGTGCATCAAGAGAAAGCATGGGTTCCAGTGAGAGGTTAAAAGATCTGTGTGCTATAGTTGAGAAGAGTTATATGCAGGGGCGGACTGACCATTTGGGCACTAGGGCACTGCCCGGGGGGGTCCAGGGTCAGTAGGGGGCCCCATGAGATGCCCCCATTACCTTTCATAGGCTTTTTTGGGTGTGGTTTGAGTGTGGGTGAGGACACAGGGGCCCCATGATCCCCTATTGCCCGGGGGCCCCATGAGTTGTCAGTCCGCCCCTGGTTATATGTGTCACCTCTGCCTGCTGGAGATGTGTCAGTGTTCAGGTAGCAGAGGCCAATGCACTTTACACATTTAACCAAAACACAGACCTAACACAGCTAACTAGAACTCCAAACCACAGTGCATACATAAAAACAAAACAAAATAGAACATAATAAAATAATCCATGTATGCACACAAATGTAAAGTTAGGGCCCTTTCACACTGAACGCAGTTGAATACAGTTGGCTGCATTTTGAACTGCACACCAACTGCATAGACAGTCCAAAATCCAGGCAATCCTATGGGCATAGTTCACACCATTGCAGTGCAGTTCAGCGCAGTGCAGAAAAGTACCGCATGCTGCATTTTTCAGCACTGCAAATGCACAAAAATGCATGCAAACGTACTGCAAATACACTGCAACACATCACAGTGCACACAAAAGCCCAAGGAAAGAAGAAGGGAGTGGCTTCACAGGTCAAATGCAGTTAGAAAAGCACGCGTCAACTGCAAGTAAATGCGCACCAACTGCAGATGAATTGCGCATCAACTGCATGCATATGTACAAGGACAAAAAAAGCAGTTACATGCAGTTTCTGGTGCGAATGGTCCCAAAGCTGAGAGGTCGGGATAGGTAAATCTTTATTTACATGTATTCTTTGCTAAACATAAAGAAGCATATTGCTAAGAACAGGCATTACCGATACAGACGGCAATGTAAATTCAGGGCTCTCATTAGTTGATACACTAAAATATAAACATACCTCCAAATAAATGTGACAATGGCACTAATGAAAGAATGTTTATGATTAACAGATGTATCCCATCTGCTTAGATTTTCTTTGTCACATCTGCTGACAGCACAAGCCAGCACCAAAATGGGCATAATATTTCTTTTGTATTGACTTACTAAACAAGAAAAAATCATTATAATGCATATGTTGATAGAAGTGTTTATATCTCACTTGTAGTATGCTGTTATGCTGCGGGCAAAGAAAAAGCCTGGGTATTAGCAGAGGCTTGTCACCATGGAAATTTGACTGCAGCGCTCTGTTTGCAGAAGATCAGACATTGTCATTTGCCAAAAAGTAATTAATAAAAGTTGAAGGAGATTACACTGCAGTTTACTTTTTCCCCTATTAAACTGATTTTATACATTCTTTGCATCCTAAGCAAATCACTCTTTTCGCAAACCTGTATTGAAGGTTCAAATCACAACAAAAAGTATGATTTTTTTATTATTGATCAACATGCATAAAGTATGCAATATGTATTATGTATCGATGGCACGCATTGAGATTTGACTTTTAGGCTTCATGCACACTAGGCGTTTTAATAACGCTGGTAGTGTTAGCTGTGTAAAGTAATGTTAAAAATAGAGTTTTTCCGCTTTTTTTAGTCCTTTTGCATTAGCGTTTAGCGGAGGTTTGCCCCATTTGCATTTTTAGCATCAAAAACATTTTTTTCTTTTGCTCCAAAAAAGTCCAAAAACACCAGTTTGCATCATTTTACCACGTTTTGCTACATTTTTTCAGCGTTAGAGCGTTAGCTGTGTAAAGTAATGTTAAAAATAGAGTTTTTCAGCATTTTTTAGTGCTTTTGCATTAATGTTTAGCGGCGTTTTGCCACATTTGCGTTTTTAGCATTTTTTTTTTTAACCAAAATCATTTTTTCCTTTTGCTCCAAAAAAGTCCAAAAACGCTGGTTTGCAGCGTTTTACCACGTTTTGCTATGTTTTTCAGCATTAGAGCATTCTTACAGCTAAAAAAAACTCCTCTAGAAACCCACTAGTTCTTGTTTTTTTTTCAGCCAAAAAACGCCCCTGCCAAAAATGTTGATTACAGTCTATGTGTTCTGGGGAGTTTATTGGCTGTAGAAAAAACCACCAAAAGCCAAAAACAGCAGCTGTAAGTCCTCATGCACACTGAACATTTTTACAGCTGCTGTTTTTGGCTTTTGATGTTTTTTTCTACAGCCAGTAAACCCTCCCAGCATGTTATCCTATGTGTCCATGCACACAGACTGTAATCAACGTTTTTTGGCTGGAAAAAAACCCCAGGACTAGTGTGTTTCTTGAGGAGATTTTTAGCTGTAAGAATGCTCTAACGCTGAAAAACGCGGTAAATCACGGTAAACCAGCATTTTTGGACGTTTTATTGACTAAAAAAACATTTTTTTTCACCAAAAAAACCTCTAAAAATGCTAACATCCGCAAACTTGAAAAAAACGTGGCAAAACAGCGCTAATACAAAAACGCAGACAAACTCAAGTTTTTAACATCGCTTTACACAGCTAACATTACCAGCATTATTAAAATGCTCAGTGTGCATGGAGCCTTAAAACGTCCAGTGTGTGCATGAGTACTTAGAAGTGACATACTAACAGGGGGTAGTCAGAGGAAGCTAATGACACTGGAGGAGGAGTTATAATCCTGAGCCCTGGTTCACACTGATGCGGTGCGGAATTTGCAGCGTTTTCAGTGCAAATTCCACACCGCATCACAATCACACCCCGTTCATAGGAACCGATGCGGGTGTGTATGTTAAGTTAACAACACCTCCATATCGGTCCGCAAAACGCGGTGCGAAGTGCAGAATCAGATCACATAGGTGTGAATACCTATGTGATCCGATTCTAGTGCAGACCAAAAAAGGGTCCTGCACATTTTTTGTTGCGGGTGCGGTGCGAATAGAGCCATACAAAATGTATGGCTCCAATAGCACCTCACACAAATTTCTTGTGATTTGTACAGGAATGCGGTGCGGTTCCTGTGCGAATCACACGGGATTTACCGCACCGATGTAGTGTGAACCTAGGCTCATACAACACCTTTGTTCTCATTGTATATAACATAAACATATCAGTGCGTATTTATAAAGATGTGAACATGCCATTCACCAAACATTCACTGCAGGTGAATCATTCCCTGCAATTTAAAGTGGTTGTAAAGGCTTAAGGTTTTTTTTTACCTTCATGTATTCTATGACTTAAGGTAAAAGCCTTTCTGTGTGCCGCTCCCCCCCCCCCCCCCAAGCCCCCCTCCAAATCTTTACCTGAGCCCCCTCCTATCCAGCAACTTTCTTGACAGCCTCTGCTGTCTGGGGATTCTTTCTTCTCATTGGCTGAGACAGCAGTGGCTTAGGGACGAGCACGCATCAGTGCCCCCAGGGTGAGCGGCTTTCCCTGGGGGAACTGATTGAGGGGGAGGAGCCAGGAGCACCTGTAGGACCTGAAAAGAAGAGGATCAGGCCTGCTTTGTGCAAAATCACTGCACAGAGCAGGTTGATATATTTGTTATTTTTTATTTTTAAAACAAAGTTTTAGTGTCACTTTAACAGACATGTTAATTTACAAGGAAACTATAATACATTTACAATGGGGATGTTTTGGTTTGTTTTATCCCAAAGCAGGCTTTGTTCACACCACTTGAGGTGGCTGATGTCTTTTCTGCACCTGATCAACACCAGTCACCTCAGGGGCACATAGAAAACAATGGATTTCTTTGTGCTACGTTCAAATCACAATGGTACTGTGATCTTTGGTATGAATAAATGCAGACATGCTGCATTTTTCTGCAGCGCTTCAACTGCCTTCCTGGGCTATTGTAGTGCAGTGCACCAAGCTGATGCAAAGACTTAAATGGAGTGTAAAGGTTTAAATAAATGTAAAATATAAAACATTTAAAAAGTGTTACTAAAAAGCAACAAAAGTAATGTTCCCTCCTCCTCTACAGCCCAGCAAAATGGACACCAGGCTGCTTGCTACAATTGAGCAATCTAGCGTGCAAGTAGTGTGAACGGGTCTTTACTTATTTTTGCAGTTTACAGTGATTAGGTGGGCTGGCTGCCATAAGCTGGCCATACATTAACCACTTGCCTACCGGGCACTTATACCCCCTTCTTTACCAGGCCAATTTTTAGCTTTCAGCGCTGTCGCATTTTGATTGACAATTGCGCAGTCATGCAAGATTGTACCCATATGAAATTTTTATCATTTTTTTTCTCACAAATAGAGCTTTCTTTTGGTGGTATTTAATCACTGCTGGGCACTTTACTTTTTGCGCTATAAACAAAAAAAGGGCAAAAAATGTGAAAAAAAAAAAGTTTCTTTGTTTCTATTAGAAAATTTTTCAAACAGGTAATTTTGCTCCTTCACTGATGTGCATTGATGGGGCAGCACTGATGGGCACTGATGGGCTCTGATAGGCGGCACTGATAGGCAGCACTAATGAGGTGGCACGGATAGGCAGCACTGATAGGCGGCACTAATGAGGTGTCACGGATAGGCGGCACTGATAGACAGCACTGATAGGTGGCACTGACTGGCATCACTGCTGGGCACTGACTGGCGGCACTGCTAGGCATTGACTGGCGCAACTGCTGGGCACTGACTGGCAAAGCCGCTGGGCACTGACAGGTGGCACTGACTGGCAGCACTGCTGGGCTGCACTGATGGGCACTGGTGAGTGGCACTGGAGGGCACAGGTGGGTGGCATTGGTGGGGACAGGTGGGTGGCACTGCTGGGCACAGGTAGGTGGCACTTCTGGGCACAGGTGTGTAGCACTGCTGGGTGGCACAGGTGGGTGCACTGCTGGACACAGGAGGGTGCACTGATGGGCACAGGAGGGTGCACTGGTGGGCACAGGTGGGCTGACACAGGTGGGTGGCACTGCTGGGCACAGGTGGGCGGAACTGGTGGGTGGCACTGCTGGGCACTGATCATCAGGGCACTGATCATCAGTGCCCTGATGATCGGTGCCGATCCCTGCTCTGACAACTGACGGTTCTCGTCAGTACTTTCCTCACACTCTGACAGCGTGAGGAAAGTGCAGCCGAGAACCGGCAATTGCATTTCCTGATGATCAACGTGTCATTGGACACGGCTGATCACGTGGTAAAAAGCTGCTGTGATTGGCCTTTTACCACATCACGTGATCAGCTGTGTCCACGATCACAGAGATTGCCGGGTGTGCGCCCCCGGGGGCACGCAGGAGAGTGTGTTCCGGGAGGATGTCATAAGATGCCCACCCGGAACTGGCCGGCCGCAGTGTAGCCATCATTCGGCTATCTGCGGTCGGCAAGTAGTTAATCTTTTTTTTTTTTTATTCAATCAGCGGGTTGACCGAAAAAAAAAAATGACTCCACTGTGTTATTTTGGAGACTTTCCCGCCATCAGAATACTCTGATCAGTGCTGTCATTTAAAGCGCCACTGATATTTTGGGAAAAAACCCACTGGCTGGTTGTACAGAAGTTGAATGGTAGATCAACTTCTGTACAACCAGCCTGCCCATACATATAATACAAATTCGGTCACTCCCTGCTGAACGGGCAGTATTTTGATACATGTATGGTCACCCTAAATTTTTTTTTTTTTTTTCCGCTTTTTTTTTCCGCATTTTTTAAAACAAACAGGAAATACCAGTTGATTTTGCCAGGAATGCAGTGTGCTTGTCACTTCCTGTGGGCGTCACAAAAGAATATCTTCCTTCCTAGCTGTCCTCTGTAATCCACCAATTTCCATGCCCCCCATGTAATCGAGTTATAGTCCATATCAGGAGAATAGCCTAGGCTGACAAGCCTGATTCCCTACAAAGATGCAGTGCAGGAGCAGGGGCGGACTGACAACTCATGGGGCCCCCGGGCAATATGGGATCATGGGGCCCCTGTGTCCTTGCCCAAACCTAAAAAAAGCTTATAAAAAAGGTACCAGGGGCATCTCATGGGGCCCCCTACTGACCCAGGGCCCTCGGGCAGTGCCGAGTTTCCAAATGGTCAGTCCGCCCCTGTGCAGGAGTGATGTAGCCACCTGAGGACAGGATGTGTGTTATTTGCAGGATTACCAGGTGAAATAAAGCAAAAGAGTCTTGAAATGTAAAACAAAAGCAGCCAACGCACCAAGGACTATAGTACTGTAAGCTGCAATATTTTGTGTTTTTCGTTTTGTGTTTAGATACACTTAAATGACTAATAATCTAGGTAAATTTTAGTTTTACATATATGTTATAACAATAAGTTTTAAGAAATACTTTATATGATATTTGCATTTATAACATTATAAAATTCCTTGTGAGAGAATTAGGCAGTGGGGTTGATTTTTAAAGGAGTAGTGGCTGTAAACTCTGGATATAAAGATGTTATTTATCCACAGGATATGTTCCTGGCTGTTTTGTGTAACTGGACATGAAAGCGATATTAAACCACAAACCAAAAAGTTAATATATTGCAGCTTAACATTCATTAGATGTGGTCGCTACATCAGTTTTCTTTTCTTTGGATTTTCCCTGTTTTAATATAGTGATCTGGCCAGTAACACACCTCCTGTATTAGCGAGCCAGCGCTCTTGATGAATGAGCGCGGGAGCACAGTAGACAGCAGCATTGTCAGTCTTGGGAGTGTTAAATTTATTAGCAGATTTAAAAACAATTACTAATTGAGGCCAAACTCCAGCTCACACTTTATAATTGGTTACAGCAAAATGCTTTTATTTTCCTTTGGGATAAAGATTTTAAATGAATAAATAAATGCTGATCATTTTAACTGCCCCTGCCAGTGTTAAATACAGTGGGGATCGAAAGTTTGGACACCCCAGCTAAAAATTTGTATTAATGTGCATAAAGAAGCCAAGGAAAGATGGAAAAATCTCCAAAAGGCATCAAATTACAGATTAGACATTCTTATAATATGTCAACAAAAGTTAGATTTTATTTCCATCATTTACACTTTCAAAATAACAGAAAACAAAAAAATGGCGTCTGCAAAAGTTTGGGCACCCTGCAGAATTTATAGCATGCACTGCCCCCTTTGCCAAGCTGAGACCTGCCAGTGTCATGGATTGTTCTCAATCATTGTCTGGGAAGACCAGGTGATGTCAATCTCAAAGATTTAAATGCCCAGACTGGTCTGACCTTGCCCCAACGATCAGCACCATGGGTTCTTCTAAGCAGTTGTCTAGAAAATTGAAACTGAAAATAGTTGACGCTCACAAAGCTGGAGAAGGCTATAAGAAGATAGCAAAGCGTTTTCAGATGTCGATATCCTCTGTTCGGAATGTAATTAAGAAATGGCAGTCATCAGGAACAGTGGAAGTTAAAGCAAGATCTGGAAGACCAAGAAAGATATCAGACAGAACAGCTCTCAGGATTGTGAGAAAAACAATTCAAAACCCACGTTTGACTGCACGATCCCTCCAGAAAGATCTGGCAGTCACTGGAGTTGTGGTACACTATTCCACTATAAAGAGATACTTGTACAAATATGGTCTTCATGGAAGAGTCATCAGAAGAAAACCTCTTCTACGTCCTCACCACAAAAATCATCGTTTGAACTTTGCAAATGAACATATAGACAAGCCTGAGGCATTTTGGAAACAAGTTCTGTGGACCGATGAGGTTAAAATTGTACTTTTTGGCCGGAATGAGCAAAGGTACGTTTGGAGAAGAAGGGGCACAGAATTGAATGAAAAGAACCTCTGTCCAACTGTTAAGCATGGGGTTGGATCAATCATGCTTTGGGGTTGTGTTACAGCCAGTGGCACAGGGAACATCTCACTAGTAGAAGGAAAAATGGATTCAATAAAATTTCAGCAAATTTTGGATGATAACTTGATGCCATCTGTGAAAAAGCTGAAGTTAAAGAGAGGATGGCTTCTACAAATGGATAATGATCCTAAACACACCTCGAAATCCACGGGGGATTACATCAAGAGGCGTAAACTGAAGGTTTTGCCATGGCCTTCACAATCTCCTGACCTCAACATAATTGAAAATCTATGGATAGACCTTAAAAGAGCAGTGCGTGACAGACAGCCCAGAAATCTCAAAGAACTGGAAGACTTTTATAAGGAAGAATGGGCAAAGATACCTCAAACAAGAATTGAAAGACTCTTGGCTGGCTACAAAAAGCGTTTACAAGCTGTGATACTTGCCAAGGGGGGCAGTACAAGATATTAAGTCCGCAGGGTGCCCAAACTTTTGCAGACACAATTTTTTTGTTTTCTGTTATTTTGAAAGTGTAAATGATGGAAATAAAATCTAACTTTTGTTGACATATTATAAGAATGTCTAATCTGTAATTTGATGCCTTTTGGAGATTTTTCCATCTTTCCTTGGCTTCTTTATGCACATTAATACAAATTTTTAGCTGGGGTGCCCAAACTTTCGATCCCCACTGTAGTTTATCTCATCCTTGTAAATGGATACATTCTGCTGGAGTGCTTGAAACTTTGAAAAACAACAGGCTTGCTGTTCACCAGCTGAAAATAAAAGAAAGAAAGCATAAAAAAAAGAAAACTACTGCAGCCATCACATCTAAGATTTAGTAAGCTGCAATATATAGTGGAAATAAAAAGTCTACACACCCCTGTTAAAAGTGTCAGGCTTCTGTGATGTAAAAAAAATGAGACAAAGATAAATAGTTTCAAAACTTTTTCTACCTTTAATGTGACCTATAAACAGTACAACTCAATTGAAGAACAAACTGAAATGATTTTTCTTTTTATGGGGGGGGGGGGGGGGAGTAAACATAAAAAACTAAAATAATGTGGTTGCATAAGTGTGCACACCCTCTTATAACTGGGCATGTAGCTGTGTTCAGAATTAAGCAATCACATTTAAACTTATGTTAAATAGGAGTCAGTACACACCTGCCATCATTTAAAGTGCCACTGATTAACCCAAATAGAATTCAGCTGTTCTAGTAGGTCTTTCCTGACATTTTCTTAGTTGCATCCTACAGCAAAAGCCATGGTCCGCAGAGAGCTTCCAAAGCATAAGAGGGATCTCATTGTTAAAAGGTATCTGTCAGGAGAAGGGTACAAAAGAATTTCCAAGGCATTAGATATACTGTGGAATACAGTGAAGACAGTCATCATCAGGTGGAGAAAATATGGCGCAACAGTGACATTACCAAGAACTGGACATCCCTCCAAAATTGATGAAAAGACAAGAAGAAAACTGGTCTGGGAGGCTGCCAAGAGGCCTACAGCAACATTAAAGGAGCTGCAGGAATATCTGGCAAGTACTGGCTGTGTGGTACATGTGACAACAATCTCCCATATTCCTCATATGTCTGGGATATGGGGTAGAATGGCAAGACGGAAGCCTTTTCTTATGAAGAAAAACATCCAAGCCTGGCTAAATCTTGCAAAAAAACATTTGAAAGTCTCCCAAAAGCATGTGGGAAAATGTGTTATGTTCTGATGAAACCAAGGTTGAATTTTTTGTCCATAATTCCAAAAGATATGTTTGGCGCAAAAACAACACTGCACATCACCAAAAGAACACCATACCCACATTGAAGCATGGTGGTGGTGGGTGGCAGAATCATGCTTTTGAGCTGTTTTTCTTCAGCTGGAACTGGGGCCTTTGTCAAGGTAGAGGGAATTATGAACAGTTCCAAATACCAATCAATATTGGCACAAAACCTTCAGGCTTCTTCTAGAAAGCTGAACATGAAGAGGAATTTCATCTTTCAGCATGACAACAACCCAAAACATACATCCAAATCAACAAAGGAATGGCTTCACCAGAAGAAGATTCAAGTTTTGTAATGGCCCAGCCAGAACCCAGATCTGAATTCGATCGAAAATCTGTGGGTTGATCTGAAGAAGGCTGTGCACAGGAGATGTTCTCGCAATTTGACAGATTTGGAGTTTTTATTCAAGGAAGAGTGGGCAAATATTGCCAAGTCAAGATGTGCCATGCTGTTAGACTCATACCTAAAAAGACTGAATGGTGTAAAAAAAATCATGAGGTGCTTCAACAAAGTATTAGTTTAAGGGTGTGCACACTTATGCAACCATGTTATTTTCATTTTTTATTTTTACATCCCTCCACCTACATGATTTCATTTTG